AGGGAAAAACACAACCTGTGATCATGTAATTAAAAACTAGATCATGTAATTAAAAACTAGATCATAAATGGGTAGAGAGCTACCCATCACATAGGTACAAGGGAGTAAAATAGATAAGTTAAACAAAAAAATCAATTTTCTGTGTTTGACTTCGCTGCCTAATTTTTAATGCCTTTTGTCAATTGCCAGTTGTCAAAAGCTTGTGGCAAACAAGCGTCTCAAAAATGTCATGAGAATCTTCTAAAAGAAAAATCACCAGTAAAAGGACGAAATCCTCTTATTTTACCTACCACAGCAGAATGACCAACTCATTCATTTAAATTTCCAATTTGAAATGTTTTGCCACAGAGTGGTTATTTTAAGATTATTTAAAGGAAAGCATATTATGGATTCACTGTATTAGCAATAATGGCAAAGACAGACTCTGACTGAATTTCTCATGATGAATTTTTGGAACCGTTCATTGTAGTCACAGCAAACAAATGGACTTGCACACAAATGTACATGGTTTCAGCTGCCTCCTCTCTGATAAGAGTTTGGAGTGATAAATAATTTGGGTTAAAGGAAGGCAAAATGATGCCGATGACAAAACTAAAAGCAATACAAGAATATTCTTATCAAAATAGTAAGGACCTACTTCATTCACGATTTTATGGATTTAGCAAAAGCCATGAAATCAGGCATTGTCTGTGAAATCAAAAAAACCCCCAACATAGTAAAAATAAAATGCTGGCTCCCCAGCGGTCCTCATGGCTGCTATAGCCCAGCATCTCAGCCTGTCAGAGGTGAGAGGGGGAACTGCAGGCACAAAGGGGAGCTGCAAAGATAGCAGCCACTCTTGTCCCCCCTCCTCTGGCCACTGATTGACTGAGAGAGCTACCCATCACATGGCCTTGCCCCTTTCTGCCAATCAGTGGCAAGGGGCAGGTCTTCATAATGGACAGCCCTCTGGGCCAATCAGTAGTGAGGCGCAGATCTACATGATGGATGGCCCTCTTGGCCAATCAGCAGCAAGGGCAGGGCCATTGGGGTCCCTCAGGCAATCAACAGCAAGGGGCAGGCTTGCCATGAAAAGGCCATGAAATCAGCTCTGCATGCTGTGAGGAGCCTGTGAAAATCCCCCTCGTTCACCGTGACTTGGGTAGATCCCTACAGATTTTAGAGGTCCCTTAACCAGACTTTTAAAATAAAAGATCTTGCAGTATTAGTAACAGTTAATACATTCACGTCTGTTAGAAACCATATGCTTATGGACCCATTTTACTGGAATCACCTTATGACCACCACTACGAGCAGACATTTACAAATCTACACACTCCAAAATAGTAAGCGAACAGTTCAGAGACCATTATGGAGATTAAAATATTCACAAATAAAACATTAAACATCGTGATTTAGAATAAGCTAAACCCTGAAGTTGTTCCCTAGATTCCATTCATGCATATCATCTGCGAACTTCAGTGAGAATCTTGCTCATACTTCAACACACTGAAAAAAACTTAGTGAAGAAAAATTCAAGACTTGTTCCAATAATACTTAAAGGAACAAATTAATCCTTGAATCATTTCCATTCACTTCACTGGCATTATACCAGGGATAAAATTGGCTCAGTCTGTGAAAGCACTGAGTTTAATACAGTCCTGTGTGAATTATTCCTAAACAGAAGATACTTTGGCATTGTTCCTGGTCAGTACTGGTCTAGCAAAGAGCACATATGAAGACTCTCCACAGGATAGTACATGAAAGAAAGAGATCACACACAATGCATAAAACAAGAAGTGCAAGTGACATTCAGCACTGAAACTGATACCTCATATACGCTGTCAAAATGAACTAAATTAAGAGATAAAGGAAAATATTTTCCCTTACATCGCCATTATAATAATCTCTATGGACCCCTAAAACAATTTTCAGATAGAAATACACAATTTTCATGTTGAATACCTACTGCCTATGAATACATAGTTGCCTTTTAGTAAATCATATAAAAGTATTTTCAAAAAGTGGCGAGTCACATTTTTCAAATCTAAATTCATGTGCCTATGGAAATGGTGAACTTGATTTCAGTGGATATTAGGTATGCACCTACTGGGGTTTTCAGAGGCACCCACTTCTTTAGGTTCCTATATATCTTTGCAACTGGTTATACAATTTTGCTGACAAATCAGGTATTATCTACCGTATTTTGGACTGAAAAAAGGAAATATAACTATTTGTGTTGTTTTAGGTACAGCAATTACATTTTAAAGTAATACTAATAAAGAAAACAAGAAAATTATAGGGAAATCATAGTAAAAGAAAACATGCTACACATCTTCACAGTTCAAGCTGTGTAACTATTTGCATGCAAGGCTCATGAAGCATGTTTTCAAACTTTGTTCTCACCCTCGTTGTACCTCAGGCTACATATAAACTTTGAGATGCTGCTCTCCCAGGAGAAACCACATGTGTACAGACATTTATAATTTTTCTTTCAGCGCAAAAATGGCCACACTTGGAAGCAACCTGAGAGAACTGGAACCCAGGAGAACCTGTCTTGGGAGACCAAATGTCTGCACAGGTACTCAGTCTTAAGCTTTTACACTTATCTTTCTCCAAACGATACTTCAATAATAAGTACTCCAATGGAGTGTTATAATAATCACTGTATTCCATGTTTGTAAAAATGCACAACTACATAGTTCAGAACATACATTTTAAATAGAATTACTGAAAAATATTTGTGGAAATATTCTGAATAGGAATGATATGTTCTAACTAGGACTGAACAAATCTGGTTTGTCCTAACCATTAACCTATCTAGAAATACTACTTATCAAATTGTGTGTTGTTAGACATCTTAGTGGTGGCTTTCATTTGTAAAAAAAAAACCAAACTTTTGAGACATGTTGCAGTGCAGAGATACCAGAGCTATCCTGGGAATTGAAAGCAGTCTAGCCATGGTAGCACAGAGTAATGCACAGGCCACTCAGCATCTTGAAAGTTAGCTCAGGTATCTTTATGCTGTAGTGTGCACTGTTAATGCCTGAAACTTGAGCTATATAAAAGAAACATGATATACTTTGCTGTATAATTCAGATACATTGCTTACCCATTCATAACACACAATCCAACAGCGACGAGCAATTCCCAGCATTACATTCAATGTACGACGAGGACTTCCTGCAACTACATGACTAGTTGTTTCACAAACATCATTTGAAAATGAAAAGCCTCCTAATTTATTCACCACCTGAATTACAGTATTCTGTTTCCTGCCAAAAGAAAAAAAAAAAAAATCAGCATCACTCCACATGAACATTTTTATTACACCAGCAGTAGCATGTGCAAAAAATCTGCATACATTTTAACTGCCCTCTGCTGACTGGCTGTTTGTTCTAAACCTCTTCTTCATCTTCCCTCAGCCTTTACCTTGGCTTCATGCTCACCAGACTCCTCTTGCCTTTTTGTCCCCTACCTTCGTCCTATTTTCTTTCACTTTTGTTTCCTTTCCTTATGTCACCTAATAATTTAGGCAGTAGATAGGGTAGATTGGCACCTTATAGCCCCAAAGCCCAGTTCAATTGCCTACACTGTTCACAAATCTGACAACTAGCAATCTTGTGAAGAAGGATAAAATACCGATGGTATTCTACTGGAGATCAAGTAATTTAGAAAAAATCCTGAGTGGAGCCACATCCTACATAATGTTGCTCTTCCCAGACAAAGCAGACGGGGCCCATTACTGAATCAGCACAAGCACACTCTGGACATCTCCTTAAGCCCTGGGGCACTCTCATTCCAGCCATTTTTTTCTCTGCAGAAAGTAACTTTAAAAAAGCTCTCAAAATAAGCTAGCTAAAACAAACAGAACACAGAACAACTTTAACAAACCCAAAAAGCAATCTCCACAGCAAAAGCAGCAGCTTTTTTTTTTTTAACTGAGATTTAAAGGAACTATGGAACAAAGAAAATAAACAGCTTAACAAACTGACTTGCCACTGAAATCAAAAGGTGATGTAAGTGAAGAAACACTTCTGAAAAAAAAAAATCAGGACACTTAGGAGCCTAACTTTATACACATTTGTGTGAATCCTGGCCTTGGTTATTTGTCATGAGATGTAACTGGAAAATCTTCAGTCTCCTTTTAACCATAAAAAGGATTTCAGCTTGACAGAGCACATTAACAAAGGTCATGGTAACTTTACAATCCATAGAGGATGCTGACCCTGCTGGACTACAAGCTCAGGGGATGTGTATTTCACACTATGACTTAGTCTTGGCTCTTTTTGATATACTCACAAGATTCTTTAGGAGAGGAAAAATTCTACAATATGAAAAACTGAAATAGCTCTTAGATTGTTTATAGTGTTTCACAGATCACAGAATTTGACTAGCTTATATCTCAGTATACTGCAAAACTGAGGATACTGATTTGCATTTCAGTGAAACACACACAGGTACTGCTGTAGACCAATAGGTGAGGATATGCTCTTTATGACCAAAAAATGATGCCACGACACCACCAACTTCACCACTTCATACAGTTAAATTCTAGTGACCTTTTTTGGTCTTTGTATCCTCTTTGGACTGAAAAACAGGTTGTTGACAGCTGGTTTTGTATTTTGGATTCTTTTTTGCTCTCCTAGGACTTTCCCCCACCCATAGACTGGTGGCCACAACCTTATCATGCATCATAACTGCAGAAAGACTAAAGCACAGGTCATAAAAGGAATTCTGAAGAATAAAGTTGGTTATCACAAAATATTTTTATAGTAAATATGTGCAATAATAATAGTAAAGCAGATTTTACATCAGGAATGTATGGAAACAATACAGATACATTTGTACTTGCTTGCATGGGTAGGACAGCCTTATGATTGGGTCCAGAGATATGGATTCTCTTCCAACTTTGCCAAGACTTTTTCTGTGTCCTTTTGAATATGAAAGCTTGCCTGAAACTCAGTGTTCTCATCTGTAACACGCTGATCATATTTACATGTCTTATAATGATGTATTACTGAGTGGTTTATGAATTGTACTGAGGTTCATAGATGGACAGTACCATCAGTGTCATGTTTTATTACACAGGAACAAGATAAAAATGAAAATGTACTTTGTTTCCATTTTCTTGAAATATTAACTTAGGCTTATGAGAAAAATATTGACAGAAACATGTACAAAACTTTTAAAGATAGCCAGTAATTGAGTGCCATTTTAGTACTCATCTTCACGTAACTATCATGATTTGATTAATGTTTTCAAACCCGAAACAGATTTGTGGGTGGCGCCAATAACTGGAGTTTTTGAAAAAGATTGAAAAAAAATGTAACCAACCATAATATAAAATATGGAATTGTGTTTTTGTTGGATGTTATTTTGTAAGAGTTTAAAAAGAAAGATAAGAGCATGCCAGAAAAATATTAATTCTTCCACAAGTATGCAGGGGGAGCTGCTTTTAATGTTTTGTAACTGAGTGTCTAAAAAGCCTAAAATTAATATTTCCTTAAAAGCTATTTATGTCAAAGAAAACATCCAATCCAATGTTTCAGTTCATTATGACATTCTTTACAAAAGCAATTCAAAATTTATGTGGAAAAAAGGCTCTTTCAGGCTAAAATTCCACCCATTTGCTGTATACATTCACTCAGAAAAATTCTCAACTTTTTCATCTTAGTATTATTACCCTAAAGTCGATTTACAGATCTTTTACGTATATACAGTCTAGCATGAGAATGAAATTTTTCAAATATGGACTATATATTAAATTCAGTGCAGTTTGTGCAAGAAAAGACTATTCATATTGAAGTTCAAATTTTATACTGAATAGAAAGTCAGCAAAGTATCTAATACTTACTCAGAAGACATGCTTGTCATGACTAGTGTTCTTGTTGGCTAGAAATTTAGAAAAGGAAGAGCAAGAAAACAAAGTAAATATATGGAAGATTTTCCCAGAGCAACTAAATTATAATAAGTACCACTGAAGCAAAAAGCTGAGTGATAATAAAGATGCAAGTATTCCAAGACAAGAACTCAGACTAGATTGCAGGTGACTTGTTTCCAAGGCCAAACATATTAGTAGTGCCCAATGGCACTAGGAAAGGCAATATCAATTTACAACTTCTACCATTTCTTTTATCTGCTAGCATATTCCAGCACTTAAATAAATGCACCAATGGTCTTATATAGAGGTATGTCTATACTGCTTCTGCTTATGTAAAAGTACATCTTACCTATCACCAATACTGCGTGTAGGTTTTGAGAACACAACCTAAAACCATGGCCCACTGACCTGTTTCTGCTCCGCCACATTTTCTAGACCTTCATTGATAGAAAATACCAATGAAGCACTATATTACTGTTTACATAAATACTCAAACACACAAATGTACTAAAATTATATGGAAAAACTGAAAGAAGGATTTTTTTTAAAAGATAAATTATAGGTTGCTTAAAACAGTTATGTAATACAAAAAAATTGCAGAAACCTACAGCTCCACACAAAAAAAAAAAAAAAAAAATCAAAGAAATCAGGCTCTTCTACCCTTTTCCCATATCTTGCCCATGTCAAACAAAGTTCCCCAATTCTTTCCCACCACCATCAGTAATTTCCTCTGAGTTCTAGAAAGTCTGAAATACTGTAAATCAGTTTAAGGTTAGTTGTAAAGAGCAACACATTAGAAACTCACTCTGCATCTTACTCAGTAATGAATCATAGAATTAAAAAAGACCTATTTTATCAGTGATCACTCATGCCCCACCACTACAAAATTATTATTTATTGAAAAGGGAAGAAGGAGAACAAGGAGGATCCAGGCAGTTACAGACCAGACAGTCTGTCCATGATACCTAGAAAAATCATGGAGCAGGTTATCAAGGAACCTGAAAACAGGCTGATTTGCAACAGTTAACACTGATTCATCAAGAGCAAATCATGCCTGACCAACCCGATTTCCTTGTATGACAAGGCTCTCTGTTGGTGGGGTGGAGAGCAGTGGATATGATATACCTGGAATTTAATAAGGCTTTTGGCTTGGTCTCTGATGACATTATCATTAGTGGATTAAAGAATAGAGTCTAGATGACAGTACTGTAAGGCAGATACAAAACTGGTCGGATCATCACTCCATGAGTAGTTACCAATGGCTTGATGTTGTAGATGGCACTGAGTGGGGCTCCTCAAGGTTCTGTCTTGGGTCTGGTATTAGTTAATATCTTCATTAATGATTTGAAGGATAGGATTGAGTGCACATTTAGCAAATTTGTATATGGCACTAAGCATGGTAAAGTTGCAGACCTTGTAAACTGAAGAACTGGTCCAAAATTAATCACATGAAACTCAATAAGCACCAGTGAAAAGTCCTACATGTGGGCTGGAACAAATCAAATGTACAAATACAGATGAGATAGGCTGCAGTACTGGTTAGGCTGCAGAACCTGGGAGTAACAGACAACCATAAACTGAATATGAGTAACTGAATATGAACTGTGTGCTCTTGTTGCAAAAAAATAAATAAAAAAATTAAAAAAGCATACTAGGCTGCAAGCATTGGCTTGCAAGTCAAGGGAAGTGACTCTTCTGTTCATTTGGCACTGGTGAAACCTCACCTGGTATACTGTGTCCAGTTTAGGTCACTGCACTTCAAGAAAGATGTGAACAAGTTGGAAAGAATCCAACAGAGAGCAACAAATCTGATTCAAGTTTTGAGACACATGAAATACAAGGAAAAACTGAAAGAACTGGGATCATTCAGTTTGGAAAAAGAATGACTGAGGTGGGATTTGACAACAGCCTATATACTTAAACGGGTAGTTACAACTATACTATACTACTACTATAGAGAGGGAAATTTAGGTTGGATGTTTAGAAGAACTTTCTCACTGTGAGAGTGGCTAAGCATTGGAAGAGGCTATTCAGAGAGGTTATAGAAGATCCATTTTTGGAAGTCTTTAAAAGAAGGTCAGATGAAAAATTGTTTGAGGTGGTCTAGTCTGGGGTAATCCTGCTTTAAGCATGGGGCTGAACTAGATGACCCTCTGAGGTCCCTTCCAGCCCAAATTGTCTATAATTCTATGTCTATTCAACAACTCAAATCTAGTCTAGCAATTAGGAATTCTAGGTAATCCTAGTTTATCCCATGGGTGGGAATCTATTCTTGCTGCGAATAAGTGAAATACAATTTAATATAATTAAGATTATAATCAGGAGGCATTAGAGCCTTTGTGACTAAGCACAGTACCTCAAACGGAATTGATCCAATCTACACAGGTTTCTCTAAACTGTGTAGATTAGACTGTTAACAAACAGAATTCTCATTCACTCTTTTGTTAGCCAAGGCAGGCAGATGTCTGCACTGATCAAGGCCTGAAGGCAGGGGCTTTTCCACCAGGCTGCCCAGCTCTGTCAGACAGCAAACGCCCCAGCCCCACCCCCTCGCCAGACCCCTTGCTCTCTGCCATGAGGGACTCCTCCTAACCCCCAACTGCTGTGCATGCCAGGCTGAGGGGAAGATAATGGGGGGGTCTGTTCCCCCGCCCCACCCCCAGAAGCTGAGGGGTGGGGGACTGGTGAGGGGGTGGGGCTGGGATGTTCACTGCCTGGCAGAGCTGAACTCTGCAAGGAGGAAGCCTCTGCCTTGGGGGCTTCCCCCTTCCCCACTGTGTGGACCCTGGCTGGTGGGGGTGTTACCTCTCAGCTCTGTGTTCTTGGGGAACTCTGACACAGGACATGGCCTGTCTGACTCACAAAGATTTCCACCCCCCCTCCTCTCCTCTACCTGAACAAGAACTGATTACAAAAGACAATGAAAATGCAGTAGGAGCCGCACCTAAAGCCCTCCAGATAAGGGTGACAAGAGTGAAACAACTGCCCTAGGTCTCATTTGCATGCACGATGGAATCAGATGACAATTCATTTACATGGAAGATGGAGAACAGAACGCCCAAAGCAAAGACCGCAGTGAATTCTGGGACCAGAGAAGCAGGGAAGCACTGCATGATGGGGAATCTGTGCTCCAAATGCTAATCAACCCACATTTACACACACCCACCTCAGCATTTATCAGACCAATTCTAATTTGGATTTACAAAGGACCGCCCCCCCAAGCAGAAGTAAAAGTTTAATAGGCATCTCGGACAGTACATTCCCCGGGCCCACTATGGGAGTCCTACTTAAACTTGATTGACTAAAACTCAGTTGCCGGCTTAGGGAATGCTGAGGCAAAGAGACTGAGTCAGAGGGGGTATGGGCAACATTTGGGCATACCCACTCTGACTCTGTCTCTTTGCCTCAGCATCACAGTGTCCAGCCCATTAGAGCCCTGACCACAAGTGTTGTCATGCTTTTCCTGGGATGACTGGTGGAAGTCCTCCCCACAAAAGTTATGAAAAATCATGCTAAGCTGAGGCTTGTTCACAACAGGTAAAAATCCAAAACGCTGACGCTGCAAGCTCTGTATGGTTTCTGAAGAAACAATGAGGTATCCCATCCAGTATATCTGCTATCCATAGGAATTTCAAGCTGGCTCCTAAGTGTCTGGTTACTCCTTAAAAACTTATGTTTTTCCTGGATGTTAATCAGTTTCTTGAGATGTTCCAAACCAGATAACCCCTTGTCAATAGAAAAGACAATTATTTACACTATAAAAAAAATGCTTTGAAGAAGCTGAACTGAGGGTATAAAAATCTGTAAAAAAAAGCAGCAAAGTGTGCTTCAAATGGAGAAGTCACTCTGACACAATCCACTGTTGTTCCTAAGAAGCTAGAAGAAACAGATCATCTACCTTCAAGGATTGTGCTAAGAACTTTACCTGCCAGCATTGGAACTCAAGTGCTTTGGACTGGTGAGATCCCAGCTCTTGCTCTCTCTCTCTTTTCTTTTTTTTCTCTCTAGGCATAGATTTCTGAAACTGAATTGTATTAGTTAAGCTTGAGCTAAGTTTCCCCAAATACTCAGTGAAACCAGGGTAGTATTATAATTGTTTGTGTTTGTTTTCCTTTGCATGTCTATTACTACTAGTACCATTATGTATTTCATATACTTAGCAATAAATACATTTATAGTCAAACTAGTAGTAACTGGGTATATTTTTTGTTTTCTACTTCTCCTTCCCCACTTGCTCTGCTGAAGCTCAAAAATACTGTGGGGTCTGCTCATCAAGAGGCTAAAGATTGGGACGTGCTGAGTTTGAAACACATAAGGGGATCAGCTTGTACAGGCTGATTGACCCAGTTTGGCTCAGACATGCCCTAATGAACTGAATGCTGGCCCCTGAGGGTGTCAGCTGGACACACAGCCGGATTCAGAAGTATTCTGTCTACCTGTGTGCTTGTGTCTGACTGCAATTTATTGTTGCTCTGATGAACTGATTCTTGGCATATGAAGGTGTCAGCCTGTCCATGCTGATCAACCTGGCCGGGTCAGGCGTGTCACATTAATCTGTGTGTATATGGCTGATTTAGTGACTGGAGGAAACCAGCCCCATTGAAACTGGGTCCTGCAAGATAGCTCCATTGGCGGTGAGAACCTGAAGAAGGGAGATATACAGCTCCATATAGAAACACAAGTAACACAAGCAGCACATTGACAGAATTACAAAGACCCTAGAAACGTATCCCTAATAAATAAACACACCCCAAAGTGATGGGCAAATCTGGTAACAGGGGCCGGGGACCATTCCCCCCCCGCCCCTGCACCCACCCTCTGTGTCACCTCTGGCTGGGGTGGAAAACAGAGGCTTTGCTGCCTCAGCTCTGTGACAGCTTGGGGCGGGGCCACACAGCTCAGCTGGAGCAGAGGCAAGACCACACTGCTGGGGCGGGAGGGATTAGTGGGGAGCCGCAATGCATCCTGCGATGCTGGGAGACTGCAGCCTAACTTGTGTTGGGAAGGGACC